GGGTGGATCCAAAGGGACAGCCTACGGAGCGGGGCGATCAGTGACCGGCGAATCGAACAATTCTTGCCGATTAAATTGCTTTTCAAAATGCTCAGCCCAACGCTCCAGACGTTTTGACAAATTGTGGATAGGCTGTCCACTCTCGTCACGTATAGTTTCACTAACACCTGGTCTCCTGCTGCCCGTTTCCCGTATCAGACGGAATAACTTACGATGGTTGCCAAGGGCAGCGGCCACTTCCATCTCTGACGCACGATGAGACCACCAAGATTCGCGGTCTCTCTTCAGGCTAGCACGGAGTTTTGCCCGGAGCTCTTTGCGAGTTTCATTGTGCTCGCTTCCAGCCGGGATTTGCCGGCGGGCATCTATAAGTTCCAGAGACCGCGAAGAGACCCAATGTCCATGTTGTCTATTAGACATACCACATGAGGGTTTGCCTGCTGCTAGTAAGGTCTGGCGAACATGTGACCAGTGACCATCAATTGTCTCCTGTGAGCGCTTTCTCAACTCGCATGTTAGCGTACTTCGATACGCATTCAGAACAGCTGGTTTTGTCAGTTGGCTGGTGTCAATACGCTCACAGCGTCGTCGCGGGCGTCCGCCAAAACGCATCCGCATGTCAGCACATACAAGTGCATGATCGGTGTCCACACATGTGCTCCAAATCGAGCGACAATTCTGGATGCAACCTCTCCAGCGGTAACTTATCGCAATGTGATCGATCTGCGTCCAAGGCTGGTTCGAGGTTGGTGGGCGCCAAGTCACCCTTCGGCGGGTGCTATGTCGGAAGTTAGTGCTCGCAAGAAATAAGCGAGCATCTTCACACAAATGAAGTAACCGCTCACCGTTATCATTACGGGAGCCTACACCGTGTTGACCGCCCAGATGCAGTTCATCTGTGGACAACTTTCCAACTTGTGCGTTCATATCCCCCGCCAGCACAACAGTGTCCGTGCTTCTTCTGTGGCGAAGGAGCTCGGTCAGTTGGCGGTAGAAGTCGTTCTTTACCGAATCATCGCTACAGTTTGTGGGCGCATAGGCAGCGATGATGAATAGACACCTGTTGGTCCCACGTGACTTCGAAGCTTTGAACGAGCCAGCCAATCGGACCGCACACATCCGGCTACTGATTGAAATCCAATCAACCAGAGCAGCTTCAGCCCGGGGACTCAGGGCAATACCAACACCGGCTTGGCCGGTGCTCGAAGCTGCATCGTCACCGGATAGGCGCAAGGAGAAAATACTGCTAGCGTCCCCTGAAGGGGATCGCAGAGTGAGCACAGTGCTCGAGTCTTGCAGGCGAGTCTCTGATAAGCAGCAGATACCGATCGAGAGGGTCTCCAATGTTCGGGCAAGTGCTGCCTGTTGACCGATTTGTAGCAGTGTGCGTACACTAAGGCATGCCAATCTGAAGGAGGATCGTGGGCTCCAAATGGAAGCCGATGAACTGGATTGGACCGCTTGGTTGGACATGGGCTTGTCGACAGGAGAGGAGTGACGCTCCGCGTTCACGTGTGAGTTGAAATTAGAAGGTAAATGCCTAGCAAAGCATGTTGGGGGAGGGCCAAGAATCGGGGGGTTGAAAACTGGGGGGATATAAGTGAAGTTGGAATGGGACGGTAAGAGTGAAAAAGCGTAAGAGGGGGAATAAGAAGACGGGAAGGCTTGAGCAGTAACATCCAAACCCCTATCCACCCTGCTCGATGCAGCAGATAGGGCACCGTTTATTATCCTCTGCGGTGGCCAGAGCATCAAGAAATTGAAATCACTGACAAGAAATTTTATGTATTGGCCTCAAATGGATTCAGAAATCGAACAGTTTGGCCAAAGTTGTGAATCTTGTCAGCAAACGACAAGGGCACTTTCAAAACTTCCGTGGCAACTTTGGCTGGAGTCGGAGAAGCCCTGGTAGAGAGTCCATTTGGATTATGCGGGATCAATCAACGGTCAATCTTATTTGATTTTTCTTGATTCCTGCACCAAATGACCCGACGTGATTCCGATGCAAAATCCTACCTCCAAGCACACTATCAATGAGATAAGCAAACGGTTCCAGTATTTTGGTACACAGGAGATGGTGCTTACGGACAAGGGAGCACAGTTCACATCAAAGCTTTTCCGAGAATTTTGCATGCAAAACAGCATTCAGTACAAGTTTTCGCCGCCGTATCATATACCATCTAATGGGCAGAACGAAGGATTTGTAGATAAGTTTAAACGCTCACGTTTAAAGGTATGCTTAAAGCCGAAGGAACGAGGGTGTCACGAGATGTAATTCAGCCGTTTTTGAAGATGTATCGCAACACTCCGAATCCATACACACCGAAGAGCAAATCTTCTGATGAATGTCTATTTTGACAAAAATCAGAATGACATTTGATAGCCGGATCCCCAGAAATGTTGGAAAACGCAACGGACAAACGAGAAAGAAGCAGGGTAATGGGCTTCGTAGGTACAAGATCGGCGACCTGGTGCACGCAAGAAACGTTCAGACCCCGGGAAGGTGGTCTATCGGAACGGTTATTGGTAAGAGAGGTAATGTTATTATGAGATAATGGTTGGAAAGGACAAGTGGACCGGACTCGTCAATCATCTACGACCGCGGCATGGAGACACTCAAAGACCACAAGAACCAGTAGAACTACAGTGGGACATACTACTGGATAAATTTGGTTTGGAAAGCAGAATTGGTCCGCGAGGCGGAACACAGCTGGTCGCTCTGGCGCTACACGACCTGTTATGCAGGCCAAGTCGAAGAGGAAGGCAACCGCGATGACTACAAGTGGATCCTAGGGTAAAAAGCTGCGATCCAGCCCAAGTGTGGAAAATCGGTAGGAACAATCAATTTGAAGAGCCAGGTAATAGGGCCGTAAGCGGAGCTGAATTTGGGAAGTGTCTGCCTCAGGGCGGTCGATCAGACGATTGATCGAGTAGGCCAGTGAGTTTTTAAATACACAGCTAGTTATACTTTTCCTCATACTTGTAACTAGAAGACAGAGCCTGTGTGAATTCTTTCCCTTGACGCGACTGGGAGTGTCAGAGAGCAGAGGTAAGGAAAAAGCGGTTACAACAGTCTTATAGTGTTAAACCGTCGGTGTAAATATTTTTCAGCCATTTTACCCCTGCGGCAAAACGAAAACTGTATTTGCTCAATTAACGCCTTTATCAACAGCGGCGGGTTGGTCTATGTGCTGATTTAGACACAGGAACCGACCTCGTCAGTCTACGATACCGTTGGCACGATTAGAGAAACTCCCGTTAGTCTTAGAGACTATGACCATGGGATCACAAGAGGAAGCGGTCTCCAAAATGATAAGACTTGGGCACATCGGTTTGAAGATTTCAGTCACTTTCAGGTTCGTGGTGGTCCTTATGTGGGATGCGTTGCCTGAGTTGTATGGTCTCAAGCTTAAAGCAACGCTGCCGTTCACATACCAATACCAGACTGATTATCAGACTAGTTCACTAGACTTACAAATAAAACGGTAAATTGCGTTCGGATCCGCGCCACCTATACCCTTCAGCGCTCACCGAGTGCACATTTATTTTGTCCGCCGGAATTAAGATGGCGGAAATAAAAAGAGGAAAGTCGTTGCAAGGATAGCTAGAAATGCAGTGTCTGACGCCTAGCGTATATGCGGTGGTCCGCCTCAACTTCCAGGTGGGAACTTCCGTTAACCAATATGTACTTGGCTCCGGGCTTAACAGTTGACGTCAGCGCCGTTTCATATTTCTCTCCAAACAAATCGCTTGCTTAAGTAGATCTTTACTTATCTGTGTGGCAGAACTGATTGCGCTGCTTGGTTTTGTGTAGATTCGTAGTATTTAGACACAGGCAGACAGCCACCACACATCCAGGAAATCGCTAGATGGCCGTTTCGTCCTATTGGGACTCGTCAGTAGCGCGCACCCGCCGTATTCTGCCGGATTCGTACCCACGACCTTACTCTTGCGAGTCAGCGACTTAGGTCACTGAGCCATGGGCGACGGCAGCGGACCGCCATGACTGATACCTAACTGCGATATAGCGCTGCTCATCCTCCACTGTCTTGCATGTTATGTATGTGCAGAGAGCAGAGCTGGCCCCCAGAGCAACGACTTCCTTGGCAAGCCGCCACCAGTCGAGATGGCATGTAAGCTGCTAAGGCGAGTACTGATTATTGGTAAGTAGTAGGGGGGCCAGCCCTGTCCTCTGCACATTCATAACATGCAAGACAGTGGAGGATGAGCCGCGCTATATCGCAGTTAGGTATCAGTTATGGCGGTCCGCTGCCGTCGCCCATGGCTCAGTGACATAAGTCGCTGACTCGCAAGAGTAAGGTCGTGGGTTCGAACCCGGCAGGATTCGGCGGGTGCGCGATACTGACGAGTCCTCATAGAACAAAACGGCCGTCTAGCGCTTTCCTGGATGTGTGGTGGCTGTCTGCCTGTGTCTAACTGCGACGAATCTACACAAAATCTACTAAATCCCCCTACTACTTACAAATAATGGTGCTTGGTGGTGCAAACTACAGTACTACCTTTGCTTCGCACGATAACCTAATGCTTGTGGCTACCCGTCTCATGAACTGTGTTGCCGCATTGATTCGGAATGTTTGCTTGGGTCATCTAGGCATTACATTCGGATCCCTTCTCCTGCATCCTTAGCCCTGAGCGATGTAACTACAGTGGTCGTATGACAGCGACGCGCCAATACAGAGTACTTATTTACTAATGATGGTGACAAGAATTGTGATGTTGCAGCTGATCATAAACAGGGTAAGCGGAGCATAGCAGTATCGCTAAAGACGAGGTTACGTTTGAGAGTCCGTCAAACCTGTCCGCCAGATCACTCCGGCGGGTCCACAACTGTAAAATCTAAATAAATTCTAGCAGCAAACTAACGTAACTATTTGATTATTAAGGTATTTAGCCCGAACTACTGTCAGTAAACTTTTCTACCACACGTGATAACTCCCATTTATCCTCTTATTGTGCTATCTTTGTTTACGTCCCCACAGAACGCCGACTTGGAGCAAATGAGGCTCCGCTGATGGTTCAACTCAACTGGGCCTTTGATGACAGTGAGGTCAGATTTGTACTTCGAGATGAGAGCAAGCCATTACCGAGCGCCAGACAACGACAAGCACTCGAGGTAAGTTTACACAGACAGTGCCACCTTCGTCATTCATCACTTCAAAAGTTCTTATCTTTGGCAGCAAACAAACCCAAGTTGATTGTCTCCATCGTCCTCGAATGCGTGCAATCCAGTTGGAGGTGGCAAGGGCCCATGGCACTTGCTCTGTGATAGAACAATAAAGGTTGGAATAAGCAAACAGTGGAGTAGAGATAATAGTGAAGTACACACCAACGCTTGGTGCGTGGCCGACACCGCCTTACTACTTAGTAAATACTCATCGTCATCTCCAGTTCCCATAGTGTCTTCCAGGTACTCTGCATTCCGATCGGGACTTCGGTTATTGAGTTGAATACAGCAACTGAAGCAGTTGTTAGATGAGGCCCTCTGCTAAACTGATAGGATAATGTTGGCAAGTCGAGCGTGATTATAAAGCGTCCAACGGTAGCGAGACAGATGACCCTGACTGATAACGCGGACTTTATGCCATTCAGAGTGTATTCTACATTGACTATTACTAAAGACATCAAGGTCGGTATGTTTAAGGAATCGGTTCCCAACTACAGAACTTCAATTCGATTTTCACCGGGGTTATGAAGCAGATGAACATAAAATTGGCCGTTGACTTACTAGTCCTGGTGAGGATCTGCATACGCGTTATGTTACATATTTTTAATTGAACGTTTACTATGCCAGATACATCGCTTTCAATCACCTAAGCATGGTTTTGTACTCCTTCAAAGCCCCTTCTCTATTTGTATTTTCGCAATGGCCTTTTTATGAACCACCACTTTGTAACAGTTTGGCTTTATTCAATGTACTGCCTTTGATTAGTTTGTCTGCCTTGGTTTATTTACGGAACTGTCATCAATGTTGGTGTCAGCTACAATGGTGACGAAACGCTCGCAATCATATTTCACAGCTTGCCAGGCAGCGCGAATCAGGACTGAATAGCCGCACTGAAGATGTTGCCTAGTTTGGTAACGAGACGTCTGCAACAGAAACGTCCGGCTCGGAGAACAGGACAATGCTGTCACTGAATTTATGGTTTAAACGCTCGATGCGACAGTGCAGAAAGTGTTACGTACACCCTGCTTATGAGTGCTTTCAAAAAACATGCACGGAACAGATAGCATATCACTGGACTATTGAGGGTTTTCTTCCTTTTACTGTTTTAAGTGACCATGATACCGGCAAAAATTAAACAAATTGTTGCTTTTCGCGTCTCTAGGACAGATGTCTGTTGACAACTGATGAACTCTTTGATACCGAATCTCAGATTAACTTAGGAGTAACTGACTCTATTCTCGCCGCCGTTCGTGGCATCTCCTGTGCCATAAAACGTATGCAGAAAAGCTCCATCATCCTCCTCAGATGGAGCTTGAGCACCAGTTATGTAACGAAGTCTCCAAGGCCCATGCAATCGTCAAGTATTTAAATGTTTTAGTATCGACTCGAGTTAATTAAATAATAATGCACAACGATTCAAAACGGGTAACAAAGCAAGCTCTTGACGAGTTCTATGGGATAGATGGACCTAGTGGTACAAATCCAAAATTAAAGCACCTAAAAGGGGAATTCGGGTCAGGTGACTCACCAAGCAATTCATGTGAACACAGCAACAGATTTCCTTCCGCTCCGCTACGGAGAGCGTTGTTGATATATTCCCCTATTATTGACAGCACCGCTGCGGTTACCGTGGTCAGCACCAATGATGCCACAACTACGCTAGATACCGGTGTCAGTATTGCGGATTTCGTGGCTTCCATTCGGCGGAAAAATCCAACATTTAGGCGATTAGATGCGTTACATTCTGCAAGCTAAGTCAACAGACGTTTACCGGATGAATTAGAACAAGATAATTCTAAAATCCATACACCTCAGCTAATTTACAGCAGGTTTCTCTAACAACCGTTAGATTTTCCGAACGGTTATGGACAATTGAAGTTACACCACTCCAGTCTCGAGTGATCGAACTGCGTTTCTCCGTCGAAGTTAAGCCGAATCGCTCAACTTGTACCGGCATCAGCAAATATCTAGCCTTCACCTTTTACAACGAATTTTAGCCATTCCTGCATATTGTCCCTATGGTAGTTTCAGTCTTGTTTCACCAGGCTGCCTGGACTACATCATGTGCTCAGTAAGATGATCGGCTGGAACCCGCACATTTAGATGTACTTGCAGTACTACACAAACATGGCTGCGCTGTCGACCATGAACAATTCAGTTCTGATCGCCACTTCATACTGAACTTGTCGAGTGACTCTGAGACGGAGCATTTGTTGGGCTTCCAGGTGAACTACTGCTCATAGAATAACATCAAAGTTGTAGAGTGAAATCAATTATATCATTACCTTGTTACTATGATTTGCCTTCGATCTACTTTTCCTTCATAGCTACTGTGTGAGCCAACTTGCATAAGCAAGACACTGATTGGCTTCAATTGCCCTACAGGCCAGCCGGATGCCTACAGGCTTTAGAGGCGGACCCACATAGTCGATGCCGCCTCAAATCGAGCATGTACCCACGATCCAACTTCGTTTGATTGTCTGATCGCCTGCGACACTGAGTAACCTCATGGTACCATTTGCTTGAGAATGTTCTCACATCTTGTCTAGCTGATCTCCCTGAACTTTCTAATACCACTCTACTTCTAGCAAGAATACGGCAGGTTCTTAGAAAGCAGGCCGTAAATTCACGCGTATTGGGATGCAGGTGAATTGTACAATGAGAAATGCATGTCGTGCTCTTCTTTGGATGAAACGATATGCGGTCTATGATGATAGTGTTTTAGGCAATGCGGTTCTTTGTCTTGCTACTTAGCTTGTGTTCGGAGACGAAACCATGCCATTCGTACACATTACGGTTTTTGTGATCTCCACACGAGCACATCATACTTTGGTGAACAGGATTCGTATAAGGTTTCCCGTTCATAGATTCCCATAGCTAGCACCAGGTGTATGTGTCGTATCTTATGATCAAGCTACTACCTGATCAAATTATGTCATTTCTTATCTGTCCAACATATTCGTCTGCGCTAACTTCTCGGCCCGAAGTCCAGAAATGATAGACATTTGTGCTTGGATCTACATTTCACCTTTTTACTCACCTTGGTTTCGTGTGCACCACAGCCATAGCTGAAAGGCATCGTTAAGAGTGTAGCACTCTCGCTAATCTATCTTCCACAAGCATTACCCAAGCATTGCCGATAGAACATACATCCAGCGCACTCCAACATAGCAAGTCTTTGCATCCGAGTGATATTAGATGCAGCTATACAAGGATATCACTTCTTGCTGCTTCCAACCAGTAACTAGTCATCCGCAATAACAATCAGCAGACTGCGAGGCAATGATTGCGTGGCCCGGCCAACCCACCAAACAAGCTGACTGAGTGTGGATAGACGAAATGGCTACACTGTTGAAAACCCACCATTTTTACCTAGTGTTGCTGGCCCGCAGTGCATATTGCTCGCATCAGATTTACGCGACAGTAGCAGTTTTTGCTCCAATTGTCCAAAGTTTCCATAGCTGCTACTTCTCTAACCCAGGGAACGGAGTTTCATTAGTCCACTTCGCGGCTCATTTGTACTAACACCAGGTAGTAGCAGCTGTTACAGCATCCACTGATATCCAACTACGATAGTGTTAAAACTGTGAATCATCATATCCGACGTCCAGCTCAGTCATCTGCAACTGGAAATTTTGGCCTTTGATTTTAATTTTTCGGTATCACCAAGTAAATGTGATCTCATAGGACTTGAGGCATTGTTTGAACACCGGTACGAACAGCTTATTAGCCTGATGCAAGTAACAGTAGATGCGAATGGTTGATTTAAGGCCAAGACGGTAGATCTAGCCAACCAATTTTACCTTACGGAAGCTGAAATGTGTACAATAATTTCAAAAGACCACTTTGATTCATTGATGGAGTTGCGTCAAAATGATGACGTATTGATACTGAGGCCCGACAAGGGTTCCGGTGTTGTCGCAATGAGTAAAGAGGACTACTGGCAGAAACGTAATTCGTGCCCCTGAATAAGGATTGATTCGTTAAAGGCCAAACAGGCCGTGACAGAACGGGAAAAGTTGAAAAGACTGTAACCCACGAAGTGCGAAGCCTATACAAAGATGGATTGATCGATGCTAAAACCATGACGCAGCTGTGGCCTCGGGGTTCAAGACTTCCTCTGGTGGATGGCTTACCGTAGCGACACAAATAAGGGATTCCAATGCATCCAATCCTTACACTATCGCAACGCCTTACCAGAACTTGGCACGATGGCTAGCCCGACTAATTGAGCCTATCCGACGCGAGCTAGCATTGTTAGCCTAAAAGATTCTTTTGAGTTTGTTGACAAGACTAGGAATTTAAATGTGGAAGACAAATGCATGGTGTCCTTCGACGTCTGTTCACTATTTACAAATGTACCCTTGGAGGAGACATTAGGCATCTTAGTCAGACACGCGATTAAAGTGAGGATCCCAGCACATCGACTGAAGACATCACTTCGTGTATACGCACAACAAATATGCAGTTTTACTTAGATTGATAAATCTACCGACAAATTGAGAGTGTAGCGATGGGTAGCCCACTTGAGCCTGTGTTAGCTGATATTATCATGGCTTATCTGGAGAAAACAAAGTTGCGTCGACGAATATAGGAAGCATGCTTTTACGCCGGTTACATTGATGATACATTTGTGGTTGTCAATGACCATCAGCGGGCGGAGAACACGCTAGGTACATTCAACCGTTGTCAACAGGAATGGAATTAACCATGGAAAAAGAGTCATCAGGCAAATGCCATTTCTTGGATATAGGCCTAGAGAGAGATCGGATGGTTCGCTCGTTAGGTCGAGGAAACCGAGTTGGACAGGGCAATACCAAAATTTCTACCGTTACGGTCCCTAGTTACAAACGCACGTTGATTCTTACTTATTTTGTGAGAGCCCAACGAGTCTGTTCGGAAGAATCAATTGTGAAAGAAGTACAAAGCGTCCTTTCCATCTTGTGTAA